CTCCTTTGCTTTGTCACTTAAACAAATAACAAAGAGTGGTCCAGCTTAGAAGTACTGAGAATGACAACTTTATTCAATGTAATAGAGCTGTCACTACACTTCAACCATGCAATTTAAAGGATACACAGAATCAAAGAAATACGTCAACATAGGTGGCTCTGTAATGCCTCACTTTACTAATAACTGGAGGTTGCTACAGTGCCATTTTTCATACCAACACAGTCCAAATTATGAATTTGGATTACAACAAAGAAGCTCAGAATAATGGATGTGCTACCTTTTATAATTTTCTTGGATACAAGTAGTATGTAGGATGAAAATAGTAGTATCCAATGGCCCGCTCAGGAAACATGCAAGAAAATGGTTCCTTTCTCACAATTGCATACCTGTCTTATATGTTGGCAATGCCATGAAAGCTATTCAAAATTTTAGCAGTATAGGCCATTCTACTATTGCCTACCACACCTTTTCTCTACAGGAAGAGATTAGACTTTTTTTTTTTCTTAAGATCCTTTCCAGCTATGTATTTTAATGATTTCATCAGTGTTAATACTTCCCACATCTCTACAAATACTCCTAAGCATCTATTTTAATACCAGATGGTAGTAAATATTAGGAGCACAACAGTAAACAATGAAGAAAGAATCTTTATTTAAAGCTAGCTATTTAACTTGGTGTTGGCTATAGTTTTATATGACCACCTAAAATGCAGTTCATGAGGATAGGACAATAATTAAACTGATAATATTTTCAAAATTAATTAAGAAAGTGTATTGCTTTCAAATTTTAATTTCTGTTTTAAACTAGTAATTTATTGTAACTTTTCTCAATTTATAACACTGTAAAAATACATATTCTGGTCTATTATATTCTTTACATATTTTAAATGATCATAGTAAAAACAATATATGGGAAATAGCATACTACTGTGTTACCATGACAGGGATAGTCTTTAAAGGATGAGAAACTGATCTTCCATCAGAGACTGGAATAACAACCACTAGGGAAAACTGATATTTCATATACAAGTCAGTGGAAAGAAAA